AAATTGATAAACACTAAATTAATAAAGAACACGCGGCCAATTGTTTGCAAAGTCTTGTTGGCCAAAATGAGTTTGTAAAACCTCTTCAGTTTGAAAGCTTAGATACTTAAAGAGGATTTTAGCATCACAAAAAGGAAATTTTTAAGGTCACTGCAGCCGAGTGATTGGAGGTGCTTACTATCTCTCCATGGGACCAGAGTTCGATTCCTTGCCCGAAAAACATCCAAAAAAGTTATGTTCTAATACCGGTCGGGCCCACGGCAGGCAGGCGATGTCAAAACTCTGAGTGTATTTCTGTTTGGACAGAGCTTCTCACCAAATTCATTTGTAGTTGGTAAGCGGCGTAAAACCGTAGATCCCTTCATTTCTGTAACACACAGAACAATCACACCAAAGGTTTCTTATGAGATAAAAAACTTCGTGCTTACAACGAAGCTCCTAAAGCGACTGAAATATATTCCCGAAAGCTCATCGGGAGTGTGGAAAAAGTGCAATACAAGGCTCAGGAATCTAAGGATCGCAAAGGCACAGCAGCAGGTGTTGAGATCTCAATATCCTATCATCCAATACCTATCAGGCATGACCATTTAGAACTCCCACAAATAGCGAGAGTTATAACATGCTTATTCTCAAGAGCTCCCTAGACCGCCTCAGTTCTACACGTGGCCGGAAGGGCTAAAGCCACCTTGCATTCCGAGGATTTTGCCCAGCGCTGGCCGAGATTATTAAATGTCCATCTGCCCAGAAGAAGACCGCACGAGAACAGGAGAGCACCTCGACTTTCCATATCCGTGGGCACTTCCTCAAGAGCTCCTGTCTTACCAGCACATGTGTCATGCACTTTTCAGAAATTTTACTGCGACTGGGAAACCAAATGAGTTTAATGCGTAGTATTGCGATGCTGTCGGTAAGGAAGTCAAACACCGTTCTCGAACGAATTATTAAGGAGCCAAGAGCTTTGATAGATGCTCGGTAGGAACTCGAAGATTTTTAGAGTAATGCTGTACCCATAGCAGCTTGACGGCGAAGGCCTTGTCTAGTGCGTTCAAATAACCGCAATAAACACAAAGAAATTTGGTTGGTCTTTAGCGCAACGTGCTAAACCAAACCAGTTTTTCTGCGAATAATTAGGGCCGATGAAAAATGGATTAAATACGAGAATAGACGAGGCAACAATATTGGCCTAAAACCGATGACCCTTCGTGAACGATTTCAAAGCCTGAATTGAATGCAAACAAGGTTATGTTGAGAGCTTGATGGGATTTGAAGGGAATGGTCCATTCCGAAATGCAACAACTTGATCAAGAGATCAATTTGGCTCTCTAGGGTGCACAACTTTCCCGTTTGAACGAAGCAATCAAGAAAATGCAGCCATAATTGGCTAAAAGAAAATTAGTTGTATTCTTTTATAGCGGAACTTGGTTGAGAAGTTCTAAGATCCGCTGAAAATTACTTGGCCCAGTTTTACGCGCGAAGATGATACCAGTCAGCCTTAAGATAGCCCTTTTCGCCTGCGTTTATATGTATGTGTATGAACATGCAGAAGGGCAATATCTAGAAGAACTTCGAATGATGCTGTTGGATAATTTCTCATAGCTGCATTTATGCTTTGATTGTGAGAAGTTTTGCACCAAATAATATATACGGAATTAGTCCTGGGTGGTACTATCGCCGTATAATTTTATCCCAGTATTTTTAGGGAGCATCCCTAGCTCTTTTCTGCCATTGACCTACACGTCTAATAGTTATGATGTTGCAGCCTTCTTCTTAGTTCCCTCCACATGGGTTTCCCATAGTAATTTTTGATCTAGTATTATTCTTAGAAATTCAGCCTCTTTGAGGTGTATAATTGTTTTATCTTCTACCATTATCGTTTTCAGGCCATCAACTTTAAATTTGCTTGAGATTAGGTGGTTTCATACAGCCGCAGGATTATTCGATCACTCGAGCAAGTTGTCAAGATTTTGACTACTCAAAACAATGATTAATCGAGTTACTTGAAATAGGATTAGTCAAAAAAAATTAATTTTTCTCGTTAAAATAGTTTGCTTTGGAAAATGTTATTTTAATTTTTATGTACAATCTGTATATGAAAAAATTATTTAATTTTAATTTTTGTTTTCAAAGTATCAAAGAACTTCAACTACTTTATATGTAAAAAGTACTTTGAAATGTTGATTACTCATTTTACTCATAATATTGATTAATCATAACGCAAATTACTTAAATATTTTTGCTTTTTGGTTAATCAAAAATCTTGATTACTCGAGTAACAGAACTTTTGAGTAATCATAATTTCCAATTAGGCGAATAAGTGGGTTATTTATGATTAATTAAAATTTTGAATAATAAATTAGTCGCACAGCCCTGCACAGGATGTTTTCGACGTTTCCCCTACATATTATTACGATTTCTTCAGCATATCCCTGCCAAGTTATCCCAGAATTTATTAGCTCTTGAAGTACTCCGTCGCCGACTATGTTCTATAGTAGTGGAGATAATACTCTTACTCCACCTGGTGGACAGCCATTTATTGTCGAGGAGCATGTGGTCGTCTATTACCTACATATTAACATACATGTACATAAAATTGTTTTATATGTACCGTAGTGACAATAAACACAAAATTAATTTACTCTGCTAGTAGAGGTGGAGTTGATTGAATTAGCATTGCCCCAAAGTCCAACAAGCAATCAACGTGCTAACTGCCTAAAAATTAACCGCACAACCCATGATACAAAAAAGAAGGTAGTTTCATTTAATGACATTCCTTGTTGTTGTTAACCATTTGACTTTTAATAAAATTATGACATTTCATCAAATTCATGCTACCTGATCACTAGAAGAAATATTTTTTTTAAGCAGAAGATTTTATCAGTACATTCAAAGATGTGGAATATGAACTAGAAAATTATGCCGGCTACATGATTTTGAAAATGGGGTTGACGAATAGGTTTCAGAAAGCATGAAGAAAGTGCATACTTACATATCGTCGCTTAAAGTACAAAACCGCGTATCGTCGTTCTGCAAAACCGCGTAACTGACATTTTTTTCCAAAAATTGGATTTGCTCACACAAGCTCTTGGCTCAAGCCTTATCCATTCGTCCTGAAATGCGAATTTTTTGTAAAAAAGAGAACCATTTTGAAATATGAGAGTTTTTACTCACAACAAAATAATTTATGCAACCTCACATACGCAGTTGTGCATTTTGTTGATACACGGTTTTGTACTTTAAACGACGATATGTTAGTTGTTTATCGGAGGGCGGTCTGTTAATGTCGGCTTCAGGTGTTTTGCATAAATTAAAAACCTGTGAAATTTAATGATGATGTGCTAATCACAAAGCCTAATCTTTTGCAAAATCTTATGAGAAATTTAAGAGTAAATTTGAACGGAAATATAAAAAGGTTTTATTTGGGAAGAACATTCTTTAGAATTCGATTTTTAAATCGCAAGATTGCATTCTAAATAAGAAAACAAAAAAAATAACAGGATAATGCGCGCGTGGTTTTTGTTACAAAATGAAAAGAAAAATTACGGTGAAGTCTCCTTTAACAGTTTACATTTTAAATATTTTTAATAAAAAAAGTACCTAGCACTGATAATGGTTTTTGATTTGAAATGCTATTACATTGGTATAAATATGGGAAAGCAAATACTCTGATTTATTGTTTTAATATTATCAAAGTGGCAAGGCCATTGATAATACGCACAATTTATGAAACTTCAAAAAAATTTATTATCCGTCAAAAGTTGTTTATTGAAACTACCTTCTTTTTTGTATCATGGCACAACCATTCAAATAAATTCAAATACAAAGATAATAGATTAGCTCGTAGAGCTTACAATTAGCCAGAATTTTTCGTTACTTCTTTGCGACTTTAATTCTACCTATGTAGTATACATAGGCACAGATATATATGTATATGAAGTGGCATGTAAAAAATAATTCCTTTTTTCTGGATTGTAGGGAGTAATTTCATGTTAGAGTATTTATGCCTGAACGTTTAGGAGTGTCCACCTTTATAGCAAAGACAGATGACAACGTTAGTCCACATTAACGGCGCAGTTGATCTGATCAAAATTGTACCCTGCCAGGCGGCAGTATTGCGAATTAAGCAAGCCGCGAAGTTACGGGTAAGCATCCCATGGCTAGAAATTTTTTGTTTTATATTTTTTAGCTCCTCGAATTATTACATTTATTTAATTATAGTTTATGGGGGGCTCTTTTAAGAAAACTAAAATCCAAAAAATAATTACTATATCGCTAGCCTACAGTCAATTTCCCGATAGCAATTTAAGTGAAAAATGATTTTAATATTTTGAAATTTACATACATACATACATATATGAAAATTAACAGAAAATAAAAAATCATTTTCCAGAGAGGAAAATACTTCTTATAGCCAATTCCTCAAGTATTTCACAAAACTTTGAATATAATATTTTGCGCGTTTAAGGCCAAGCAAAACTCAACAAGAATCAGAAGGATATTTTGGCCTTATCGGATTTTCGGTGCTACTTTTTCATTTAAAAAAAATTAAAAAAATTTCCTTTTATATGAACAGAAAAAAATAAAATAAAATATGTATCTGTATCCTTTCCGAAACGACATCAAAATATGAGTTTTCATAAAAAGTGTAGTTAACAACTTTTCACTCTAAGCCAGCGATATGTGAAATACCTACTGAGCTATTTGGCTACCGTTAACGCCAAACTCCTTTGCTTTGTTTGCTCAGAGAATTTAGAATACCGAAAATACGTAAGACTAGCTTAGGCCGCTGCCTCTTATTCAATTTAAATTTGATTCTTATCTGAATCAGTACGCATTACCGACGACGAAGTATTTGTCGTCTAGGACTTAATACGGAGCACATAATTTCCGAGACAGTAGCGAATCAACCTGTTGAACCGGATGAACGCTGCCGTCTGTCTATGCCTTTAAACTCTGTACAAACGGTTATCTGTGGATATGTAGCTATGTTTGTATATAATTACCTTTGTTTTTTTTGCTGCTCTTTCATCCCTTTTAAAACATAAATGCACTCTACCCAGCCAAGGCGCAAATCTTTTAACGCGTTTTAAATTGAATTTTCTTTTGTCGAAATATTTCGCTGACAGTAAATTTTTTGGCGTTTTTTGTTTCTGGTTTCGCTGAATTTACTTGTGGCAGTGCTTTTGTTTATCGCACATATTTCTTTTTTCACTTAAAAAATCTTGTAATTTCTCTTTTGTTTGCTTTCGGAGATAATTTTGCGCTCTGGCTATATTTTTTTCACTTTTGGACGCACTCGAACGATGTAGAGATGTGTGTATGTATTTGTATTTTGTGTTTGAGAATCTTTTTGCGACAGCTCGCGTAAATTTAATGGCTTAGCTAAATTATTTACGCAGCACTTGTTGTTATTTTTGTCGATTTAGGCTACTACTACAGCAACCATCATTTATGTAGTTGTTGTTAAGCTTGAAAGCGATTGATGAGGTTTTGTTTTGGTCTGTGGTAGTCAGTTACATTTGTTTTTTTTTTCAACAGGAAAGTTAAATTCCACGTTGATTGGTTTTTATACTTTTCATTTGCTCATTTTGTGTAAGAGGTTTTTATTTGATTAATTTTCGCGTTTGTTGACGCTTCGACGGTACTTCGATAAGCTCATTTGAATTTCGCTTAATAACTTTGGGCGCACAACCAAATAAGAAGAAAATAAACAGCAGTTACAATAAATTGTATTTCACATTTAAATTAAGAATATAATTATTATTTTTTTTTTTTACTTTCGCCAGTTAAGTTTTCCATGCGTATCGCTGCAATCGCGCGACACTGTGAATAAATAAAAGAGAACCACAACAATGCTAATATTTTCATTTCATTTTACCCGTGTCTTATTTTGCTTAGAATATTTTTATTTTATTTTTCAGTTACGCAGGCAAATTTTCCAATTAAAATTTCGCTTTCATTGTGCGCAAATAATCAAAAAGCAAATATCGTAATGCCAGCAAATAACCGTAAAAAGGGCAAGATGTAAAAATAATTACATGCTATAAAACAAATACGCGGTGATAAAGATAACAGCCGCTTCCCCATTCGCAATTTACTTGAAAATGGAAAATGTGTGCAAGCGTTCGCTCAAGCTGGCCACATTTAAAATTCTTCATCACTTAATTTAAAATTGCTTTTCTCAATTTTTTTCGCGGTCTGTAAAGAACAAATACAAATGATGCAAATCTTCATTAAATATTGAATGAGTTCAATTTGAAATCTTGAAGAAATGTCTGCTTTAAAGCACACGTCCATTACTCTCACTGGAATAGAGATAATTGAGTGCAGCATTGTTGGTGTGAGATTGATGGGTTTAGCTGAGAACAGATTGACTGTATTTAATCAAATGTTAATTGCAGTTCTTACTGTAGAGTAGGGTAACAGTGGACAGAGTAATTGAGTGGTTCATATCAAAATCAACGCTTTGAAGATTTTCCACCGATTCTTGTCACATTCTATTGATAAAATTTCCAAGCGCCATGAAAATAATATACTAATAAGTGTCCAATCAGTCAGTGATTGCATTTAATACATTTCATTATGGAATTACAGAAAAGTATGAAGCAATGAACAGAAGTCTGGTGTATGGCGCCGAAGCATAGCCAACGGCCTTTGGAGGATTTGAACAAAAAAAAGATTTTGCCGAAAATTTAAGGGCCTTTTTGAATTGGCGTTGTCGATGAGGGAACGACAAGCTATACACGTTTTTTTTTAAATTCTGTACAACTATCTCGTTTAAAGTGCAAAAGCACGTAACTGAAATTTGTGCCAAAAATGGGATTTGCTCAACGGAAGCACATTTCTCATTAGAAACAGTATCTAGTTGGATTAAGAAGTAATTTTTTAAAACTAAAGTAAACTGAATTTGTTTTATAAAAGACAGAGCCGAGCAGAGAGAGAAATAAGACAGTTTTTACTCTCTTATGTAAAATTCTGCGAGCCTCACCTACGCGGTTTTGTACTTTAAATTACGATTGATTGCTGGAACGACACAACGTTAGCCTTCTATCTAGTGCCCTGCAGGTTTCCCTTTCAGAGACTTTAGAAGGTTTGACTTTGAATTAAAAAAATAATAAGTTTTCCTTAAAAATTTTACATTTTTTAAGCTTCCCTCAAATGCGGCATCTTAAACTGTACCTATGGCTATTTAATCGTTAAAATTTTGTTTGGTAACCCAATGAAATGTTGCTCTAAAAGAAAAATGGGCTATCTCGACTTAAGCTACTTTAATTGAGGTGCACCTATATGCATTTATTTGGGAAACTTTTTGTTTATAGTGCGGTATGTGTACGGTGACCATGCTTTAGAAATAAAAAGTAAAGAAGTATAAGTTCGGGCAAAACCGAACTTTATATACCCGTTGTAGGTATCAATAGCGTCATTTACATTTTCTCTGAATTACCTTTGTATGATAAGCAGGGGTGTTTTCCCCGATTTAAAACGTTTTCGATAATATGCTGAGTTGGGCTTAATGATAAAAATTTAACCAAGTTTGTTGGAAATCGATGAAGTGGTTACCGAGATATACCTTTTTAGTAATAAAGTGGGCGGTGCCATGCCCAAATCCTAAAAGTCTATAGCAACCTTATTTATTGTTAAGAGATTGTTATAACTACGTATAGACTTGGAGTAAATAGGCGAAATCAGTTATTGAAATATCGGAGTTTTCGTATTTCATTTCTGAAATCTACCTTTATACGGGAAGCGGGTGTAATTTTAGTCCGATCTAAATAATTTTCACCGAATGGCTTTTCCGTACCTAGGCTATTAAGTGCATCGAAGTCAAAGGACAGCATATTGAGAAAACGGTCACTTTGCTGCGAAATCGCAAACCATTTAGATTTAAGTCATTTCCCAACGGAGTTATCTCTTCTTTTTAAGGTGGATGGAACATAAGTTTTATTAGAAACATCAAATGCTAGACCAAAGTAATGCGAATGACCATGCGAATACACTACGTGCACTATGAGGATACATACTACGTATATATGTACATTTTTTCACTTTTTACGATCCCGGGATTTTCGGGATGTCGTTATCACGATCCAGGGATTAGTCCCCGGATTTAGTTATTCATTACTTTTCAACAACTTAAATCGAAAAAATTGCTTCTATCTCTCCTACCATAAAAGAAATAATAAATAAATAAATGGTTTTTCTCTCTGACGTCAGGATTTTTTTTAAAGGACTTTGTTATTTCAAAGATATGATTAACTCCAAAAATTATTTAAAAAATTCAATGCATTGTAGAATAAAGTATGAAAGAGGAAATTTCTTTAGAATTAAAAAAAATTACAATTTTTTGGATTCACAAGGACGAATAGGTAATTTTTTAAGCTGAAATAGTAAGAAGGACGAAATTAGAGGATGTTATCGAGTTTATACAAGTTCTTTACATATAATTTTTTCAAAAACAAATATTGCAAAATTTCAAGGATAAAATTTTAAAATGCCATTTCAAAACTTACCAGTGCTTAATAATATCCCAACGGTTTTTACCCTCCATTCCCGCCCATCCGCACGAGGGGCGCAGTCCGCATGACGTACGGAACCAATATTTTAAATTTTTGTGTCGAGTCACGATGGGCAGGAGTTTGTTAAGTGTCGAGATCTAAAACTGTTCAGCTACAGAACTAAATTCATCAGCTGATTTTATGTATTTATGTCAATAATTCACTTATTGAGAGAGGAGAATATCGCTTTCTTAATGCTGAAAAGCGGATCTGATATATCAAACGTGCTGGAATGAGAGTTAAAATCCTGGCATAAGCAACGGAGTGGGTCGTGCAATTCAAAATTGGTTTTACAAGCTTTCAGAAATATGGGACAAAAGTGTCTTGATACGCGTGATGGAACATTAAAGCTTACATCAGCCAGAGGAGACGGACTTGAAATAGAGCCTGTCAGTAATTTAACCAAGCATTTCCCGGCGACTGGCAAGTGTAGGAAGGTTAATAAGTTTTAAGCGACTCGTATAAGGTGGAAGACTATATTGAGAATCCCATCGGAAATTTCTTAAAGCAAAAAGTAGGAATTGTTTTTGAATTGATTCTATCTTGTCTGAGTAAATTTGATACCTTGGATTCCAAACCACCGAGCCGTATTCCAGAATCGGCCTAACTAATGTTGTAAACAGGGTTTTAGTGATATACGGGTCACTAAATTCTTTTGACCATCGTTTCACAAATGCAAGTACACCTTTAGCCTTGTTGACTGTCACATTAATGTGAAGATTAAAATTAAGCTTAGGATCCATTGTGATACCAAGGTCCACAAAATTGTATACCTGTTCCAGGTTATGGTTACCTATTATATAAGAAACTGGCAGAACAGCTCTTCGCGAGAAGCACATTACTTTACATTTCTTAAGATTTAGAGGCATAAGATTTACTTTACACCAGTAAGCCATGCTGTTTAAGTCTGATTGTAGCAAAGACCTTTCTTCAATTGAAACGTACGATTTATAAAGTTTTACATCATCTGCATACATTAAAATTTTGGAGAATTTTATATCTGTAGAAATATCGTTTATAAAAAGCAAGAACAGAATCGGGCCTAGGTGGCTACCCTGAGGGACTCCTGAAGTAACATCAATGACGTCAGAGATAGTATTTTTAAACAATAACCTTTGTGATCTATCATAGAGGTATGAAGAGATCCAACGTAGAAAATTAGGTGGAAGACCAAGAAGATCAAGTTTATAGATGAGCAACGAGTGGCACACTTTGTCAAATGCTTTACTGAAATCAGTATATATAACATCAACAGTTTTGCTCTCACTAAATGCTTTTGAGATATAGGATGTTAATTCAAGTAAATTTGTAGAAGTTGATTTGCCCTTGCAAAATCCATGTTGACTGTATGAAATGCTTGAAGTGATAGAATGCGTCAACCGATTTGTTATAATTGCTTCAAATAATTTAGGAATTGCAGAAAGCTTAGCTATGCCCCGGTAGTTCTCCACTGAAGACCTGCTACCGCTTTTATGTAAGGGGGTTATGAACGATTCCTTCCATACAGTTGCAGCTGTTAACGGCTCATAGAGATAATCAGCACAATTTCTAAGAAAACAAGTGGGGATCTGGTCAGGACCATAACTAAAAGACTGCTTTAAGGACTTCAGGTAAACTAAAACATCATCGGGAGATATTATAGGGTTATGTATTGAGTTAATTGGACTTAGTTTAAAAGGATAGTCAAAGTATGCTTGGGAGTTAGTGGAATAATTGGATTTAAAAAACTGAGCGAACATGTTAGAAATTGTTTGATTATCACCAGAGGCGGTATTTTGATACTTCATGGCGGAAGGAAACCCACGTACATTTCGCTTGGAGTATACGAAATCATAAAATGATTTGGGGTTATATATTATACGTCGTTTGATTTTACACAAGTAATCTTTATAACACTTTTTGTTTAATTCAAAGAACTTGTGACGCAAAAGTGAGTATTTTACATAGTATGAGTGTAAGCCGGTTTTTTTGTGTAATCTAAAATAACTTGACTTTCTGTTTTTCAAGTTTCTCAGTTCTTTAGTGAACCATAACTGTGTTTGTTCTACAGGAACACACCGGCGTTTAGGCACATACTTTTCAAATAATCTATGTACGGTAAAATTAAAATGTGCAACGCTTTGCTCAACTTTTTCTTTGTATATAGGCCACGACAATTTAGACAATTCTTTATTCAGTTTTTTAAAGTTGGCTTGCGAAAAATCAAAGCGAATATTTGGCTCGTATGTTTGGACATCGCAATTTTGACCATCGTTTATAATTTCGTAA